AATCACATTTGGCCAATAAAGAATTCTATTGTTAAAGGGTCACATTATGCCATCTGTGAACTTCCCAACTACCTTCCATTAAGCAAGGTCAAAGCAGGAAATCAGATTCATTTAATGACCACTTGGTTTACCTAACAATTGCAGTGATTTGCTTGACCATGGCACACAAGGTCATAACATTGCCACAATTGACTTAACAACCATCTTGCTTAACAACAAAACTTCTAGTCTCAATTGTGGTCATAAGTTGAGGACTACCTGTATTCTTGACCACAGAATCTGTACGCCAGATAAGACCTCTTTATCCCCATGAATTTAGTGTTCTATATTTATCTGTGACAATGTAATGGCCACATATCACAAGCAAGAGGACATCCATCTGCTGTGTCAAAGAAGATCAAATGAGGACAAATGGAATTTGAAGAAACAATTCTTTTGAGCTAGAAATTCACAATCTTTGAATAGGATTGATGTGAGCTCTCCTAATATTTTATTCTCCGATTGTTGAAATAAAGTATCAGTTATTCCCATCCAAAATAACAAGAAGGCGAAAAATGATACGTTTCTTAATCCGTTACCAATCATTAACTGATAGATCTGATCAATTTCTTGCTTTGGAATAAGAATTGTAATTGAACATATTTGGAATCACCAGACCGGGAGAGACTGATCAGTCTTTAGTCTACAAATCTAAAATGCAATTGTGTATAGCCTCTATCGTATTGGTGGCAGTTGCATTTTATTTTCCTACATGCCCGCTGAATTTGTTTCTGAATACGTCAAGTTATCTTATATTTTATCCCTGCTGTAACAGATCATGCCTACAGCCCAAAACCAATAAGCAGCAAACAGGTCATAGGTGGGAGGAGGCAGCCCTGTTATTTCCCTTTCTTTCCAGTAACCATGCTCTGAATGTGTCTTTATAAAAGAGAGAAGACTGTTGTACTGTATGCATTTATGAGTGTGTGTGTAATTTCTATGTAACAATGGAGCAATCCATGTGGGAGGAAGAGGAGAGAAAGAGTTTTTACAATTGGATACAGCCATGCATTCAGCCTCTACCCCAACCCACTAGTTCAGGGGTGTCAAACTCACGGCCCGCAGGCTGGATGCGACCCACACTGGCCACAGCCACCCCCAGTTTAGAGAAGGTGGGAAAAGTCACGATACATCACATGATGTGATGTCACGAGTTTGACACCCATATACTAGCTTTAGTCCTTAAGGCTAGAAAGGTTAGCGATGCCAATTCTTCAGGCTTAAACATATAAAATATTACAATGTTAAGATTTTCAAATTCATTATTTTGTTTTGGATCATCTATGATATGTGCTGTGAAGACAGTTTGAATTTAATTCTTATCTATTCCTGATGGATTTCCAAGGTAGCAAACAGAAATGTGTAATACATTTGGAGTACCAAATTGCAAATAATTCATGCAGAAGATGAAGTTTGTTTCTGTTTCCCTACCAATCCCCTTTCCTCCTCCCATACACTTTCTGTGCTAGTGAATTGCAAAATCCATCTTTACTTGTATGTCACTCTAGAAGGAAGTTTCACTGAAATCAATGAGATTTAAGAGCAAAAAAGCTTAGAATTGTTGTACACAAAATGAGCTCTGGAACTGAGCTATCAACCAGAATTAGACTCATTAAAAACATTCAACCTAAGATTGTTTATATAACATTAAAGAATGAAATAAAATACACTAAAAATAAACGTGGTTGGCATTAATTAAGGCACAAACCTCCTAGTGCATTGATTTCTATATGATTAATAAAGTGCATTGATTTCTGTGGAATACTACAATTTAAAAAACAGATTTCCTCCTTATGTTACAACTTTTAAAGAAACTGTATGTGTGAGGACACTTTGAATTCTGATAGAGGTGACATACATATCCTATGGGTTAGTTAAGGTATTAATTAAGATGTGGGGAGGTTCTGCAGATGGTAGAAACAACTCCAGTTTTCAACAAGATTTGAATTCATCAAGGAAGATGAACAATCATTACTATGCTATGAAATCCTGTGGAACACAGCTAGTGATTGTCCACAGCCCCTATGCTAACCATTGGCTATAGTTAATATTGGAATAATTATCTTTACTGAAAAAGATGTATGCAGACTTTTGAGAACAGAATCTGACCTTCATTGAGTTAAGAGTTAACTTAAAGAATTAAGGTTTACATACTTACAGACCTTGTATATGAGGAACAGAGTGCATAGAGTCAATTCAACTTAATCTGATCTTCAACACAAGGTTTTTTTCTTTCCAAAAAAAGGAACTGGAAAGCAGGATTATGCCAAATGACACCTTTAACATTACAACTTTCTCTGCACCTCTCTTCCCAGAGCAAGAGATCCTCATGGCTGTAATAGTTTGAAAATGAATTGCCAATCTAGCTATTGAAGTGCTACAATCTGTAGGAATTGAAAGATACCACACACACAAAAAACTACTTGAGACAACACAAGCTAACTTAACATACTTTTCTGAATTGTGTAGTGCAACTGTGAAAAATAAATTGGCAGGAACGTGGAAAATACGTCTCCATGTACTATTCTTCAGCAGGCTCCCTTCTGACTTGGCTCAGTAGAGTTTTGACTTCTCTATTTTCCAAAAGAACAGGGGGGGGGGATGAATTTAGAGGCCTACAAAAGCTGAGCTGAGACTGGGAAGAAAAGAACAGCTGTTCTGAATAGAAAATTATACACATAACACTAGCTATTAATGATGAATACTATAAAGGATGGTTCCTGGGTGTTCTTTCTGCTTCCACCTGAATAAAAGTAAAAGCAAGTCTGGAACAGTCAGATTGAAGTATATACAATATAATTATTTTCTGTTAATGGTTGCCATAGGATATTGCCAAGGCAGATTATGGATTAAAGCTTTTTTTTCAATGACAGCATAAGAATAGCCTTGCTGGAACAAACTAAATTCTATCAGAACTTCATTGTTTTCCAGAAGTGACCAGATCTGATGCATCTGGCAATATAAAAGCAGACAGGAAGCCAAGAGTATCCATTCCACCTAATCAAGTTGTTGCTTTTTCAAACAGCTTTGGTATATGCAGGTTGCATCTATGCATACATTTGTAATTCCATCAACACACTACAAGTATATGTATTTTTCCCTGTCTTATCACTACAACAATCTACTGATGTAAACCAGACCAGTGATTTCATCACTAGGGATTCATAGCATCACCCTGTCATTCTTGTGCTAATGTAACAATAAGGAGGTCAGGCTTTGTATCTTCTCATGAATGGCTGTGTAGTGATAACCTTTAATAAACAGTGTCCTTTGAGATGATTGTAACCCAAGGAAATTCATAATCCAGACCCATGATCTAGCTCTCTTCTCTTCAATTTGATACACTGATCACACCACTCTGGCAGGTCCATCCACTCGAAGGGCACCCACGTCAGAAAAGGAAACAAACTTTTTTTTGGCAATTTTGTAAATTACTGTGAAATTATATGTAGTCCACATCTACAGATTTTGTTCATTGTGAAGAACTAGAAGCAGCATAAACTTGCAAGATACCCTTAGATTTTTCACAAGTTGATCTGTAGTCAGTAATCCCAAATTTCAGCACTGGGGAGAGAAGCCTTACCCTTCTGGGTCCTTTCTTTTTAAAGGCCACATAAACAAACCACTAATGACCCTATTAATGGGCAAAACCTCCTTTAGTTATGGATTTTTATACACACATCCACAGCAGCACACAGTCACGACTTTCCACACTTTTGCTGCAACTTTTGATTGGGATTTAATCTTTCTCTTTGAATATGGAGGCAGATAGTGGTTAGATAGTACTCCCAAATTAAAACAGCCTGGGGGTGTAGGTGAGGTAGGATTAAATGTAAGTATGGTTTCCAATTCCAAATTAAGCTCATCCGCACTGCCTGCTCACAGCAGAGCAGCGGTGATCGCTACATTCCTAGAAAAACAAGCATTCAAGCATCTCAGGGACAAAAAAAGATTCGCTGGGGAGAAAAACAGGAGCTGCGGCCAGCCACAAGCCTGTCTCGGACCAGGAGAAAAGGCGAGGCGAGGCAGCTCGGGTCAAGCACTCGCGCTTGGAAGCAGGCGGCCGCGATCTGGGTCATACTTTCGCCCAGGAATACAGTAGCAGGTGCCGCCTCCTCCTCCTCCGCGGCTCCGAAGGGCGGCAGATTCTTAAGAAAGGAGGCGGCGGCCGGAGAGAGAGTCTTCCCCCCCTTCCCAACCTATGGGCCGGGAAAAACTCCGTAAAGTCTAGCTAGGGAAGCCAAGGGAAGGGGGCGGCGGGCGTGACGGTGACCTGGAGCAGGGCCCCACCGCCTAGGCGGGGAGCCCAACTAGGCAGAGGGAGATCGGGAAACAACGCGCGGCTCGGTGGCCTCTTTTTCTTTCTCCACCCTCCCCCTTCTCCTCCGTTCCAAACTCGGCCGGCGGCAACAGCCCCACTAGCCAGTCTCCGGAAGGCAAGGCGGTTATGGAGCCGGCTGGGCTCCGCCTCCCTAGGCGGCCCTGCTCTCCCTCCCCCGCTAAGTTCTCGCTGAGCCAGTCCCCTCCAGTCCTGCGCCCAGCGCACCCCTCGCAACCTTCTCCAAGCCAGGTCGCCGCGGAAGGTGCTTCCCGCCACCACCACCACCCGCCCCTTCTCGCCGCCGCAGCTACGAGACGCCGCCGAGCCCGACCCCTTCTCGCCGCCTCCTTAGCGAAGTGCCGGAGCCCTTCCCTCCACTCCCCAGGCTCCCCGCCCAATCAGCCGCGGGGAGTCATCCTCTTCCTCCTCCTTCAGGTGCGTGGAGCGGCGCCACGACCTCCGCCTCCCGATCCCCTCTCGCTCTTCGCTCTTCCCGTCCCTCCGTACAAAGGCGGCCGCTCCCCCGACCCGCGCCGTCCGCGGCAAGTGCTCGGCGCTGCCCGGAGGGAGGGGGGCGGTCTCTTCCCCGATCGCCGTGCAGCTAGTTAGTCCGGCGGGGTCGAGGCGCGCCGCTGATTACCTTTGGCTGCGTCTGGGTCGAGGAACATTTTCTTCCCAGCGTGCGGCCAGCCCCTCGAGCTGCTCCTCCAGACGAAGTAAATCCCTCCGCTGTGGGTGTGCAAGGTGGCGGCGAGGCGGGATGCTTTCTCGCTTAGCGTAAAGCTCCCAGCCGTCTTCTCAGCGGCAAGCCCATCAGGCGCCGCACGGCAGCGAGGAAGGGGAGAAGCCACAGGCTGCAAGCGGCCCCGGAGTGACCTCCACAAACAGGTTGGCGTCCCAGGCGGCGGACTGCTGGGAAAGAGCGGGAACCGGCATGAGGCTGGCTGGATGAATGGACTGAGGCGCCTTGTAGGCTGAGGCTGGCTGACTGATTCTCCTCCTCCACCCAGGAACACACCAAGCCTCCGGAGCCCTTCCCTTCCCCTCCCCTCGATGTCTGTATGTGTGTGTGTGTGTGTGAGAGAGAGAGAGAGAGGGTGTGTGTGTGTGAGAGAGTGAGTGAGAGAGCACGCGCGCGCGCGTCGCAAGCCTCCTCGCAGGCGTCCGGTTGCTGCTCGCTGCTGGTAGGCGAGGAAATTGCAAGGCAAAGCGAGGGAAAGACGTCGGCCCGGAGCAGCGCGAGAGCTTGATGCTCCTTTGGATTGCTCGCTCGTCCTCCCGAGGGGGGCGGCTTTGCACGTGAGCTCTTCCAACAGCAGCAGTGAAAGAAGTCTCAAGAGTTGCCTGTGCGCATCGCCAACTTCACACTAGAAGGGGCTGTGCACACTAGAAGGGGCTGTGCCTCCTGTACGCGTATTGTGCTTTAAAAAGCCCCAAGCAAAGAGCATCGAGATAGAAAGGGCGACTCGGTGAGGGATCTGCCCAGCTAGTAGTTGGCATGGGGGAGAAGCCTCCCGCCCCCCATCACCCGCGTGGTACTGAAACTCGAAAATTTATTAAAGGGTGTGTGGAGTGGAGTGGGGTGACACAAAAGCGAGCACCATCCAATTCAAGAGCAGGTGCCTAACGAACTTTACAACCTCGCACCTGCAAAGGTAGCTCTTTCGTTCCCGTTGCTTTTTTTTTTCTTTTACCACGAGGACGTAGTTTGCAGTCTGTTCTGACTCCCTCAAGCATTTTGTCAGTTCCGTTCACGCCCCGAGTGATCCCCGAAGGATCTACTATCCTTCTCCAGGTTTTAATGGTTTTAATTCGGGTCTTTTGCGCAGCGTGGACAGAAATAACCAGCAGGTTCCAAAGTCAGCTCCAGTTCAGGGTTTCTTTTGTTTCATGCCTTTAGTAAATTAAGAAAAAGCATCATCCCCTAGACTTAATGATAAGGATAAAAATTTATTGCCTGAGGAATCTCACCTAAAAACTGGCCTGGATTTCGACTCTGCTGAGGATGAGTGAATTCTAGCTGAGGCCAGAAGAACTTGTTTTCTTGTTAGAGCAAATAAATGAATAGTATCCTGTTCCTGTCTGGCATCATCTTCTGATCTTTTGGGGTTGCATTAACATTTGCTAAAGATACCTGAAGAGATTTTTGAAAACAAATGTGTCCAAATGAGTGAAGAACTTTAAATCATACAGTACACATTTTCATTACAAAGTTCTAAGAAAAGTAATTATATATATAAAAGCCAAGTATCACTCACTCATCATGAAATCTCCAGAACCGTAAAGCCTACAAACTTGAAATTTGGCAAGTATGTTCCTCTTGGCTTCTAGGTGATCGCTAAGAAAGGATTTTTCAAAATGACCATCAGATCATTAGTATTTCTTATACAGTAATTAATACATTCTGATGCTAAGGAGTTCCACTCCCTCTTCCCACCTGAAA